TATATAGATAGATAGATAGATAGATAGATAGATAGATACACACACACAGTCTGGATTCAAAAGATCTATACACACAATGTATATTTACAGGTATTGCACCGAGGGTTTATTGTCCAGACATACTGTCGTGGGTTAAGTGTTCATCAGAGTGATGACCCGGGGAAGGGCCGTGCTCCTCCAAACATTTGGTTTGAACTTTTCTGCTTTTAGAAACTTGTCCATTGAGGAAAACACAACACCCCCACTCCACCCTCCCACCCATCGGCAGAGCCACAAGCGAGTCATGGAGCAGCAGCAGATGATGATATTGTGGCTGCCAGCCTTCCTCTATAAATAAGCAGTGATTCAGACGGGTGATGAGTGGGAGGTTGTGGTCTGCTTCAGACTGGCAGCATCAGGCCTCTCCCAGAGCCACCATAACAGGATATGGTCCTCGGGCCCACACTGTTTCATCATGTTATAATTTTCCCTAGGTTTTACTATTTGGTTGGTGTGGCAACATTCATGCACGCTGAGTACCATGTGAAGAGCTGTCCCGATGGTTCTGGGAAACATATCCCTTCTGTGGTGTTTTTGACCAAAGAGACAGTGAATGAGGTCACTTTCCCTTCACATTCAGGTCTTATATAACTCTATATAGCAAGTCTGGATAAGTCTCTGTGGAGAACATTAGTAATTAAGTTTCTGTGACTCAACAGGGTGGATATACAGCATAAGCACAACAGTTTACTATGTAACCACCACATCTCCCCAAAACATGCATTTTTTTATGTCAAAGATTATGCATTGATGTTAAGGAGCTAAAAGATAGTAAACAAAGAGCAATTTTGAGATTGTTTTTCTGAGAGTTTTGTTTGTGTTTTATGTTACTTTGACTCCAATTTGCTTCAGAGGGAGCTATTCTACTTATTACTCCACAACATTTATCTGACAGCTATGCTTCATAGTTACTTTGCAGATAAAGGTTTTACATACAGAACATAATGATTGACATAAAATAGCATGCATTATAATAATAAGTAACATGGTAGCACATAAAACTGCTGGAAGGGCCATGGGACAAAAATATGCTGCTGCAGATGCCTAACATCTTAACACAGTGGTTCCAAGACTTTTTCTGCTAACGTTAAAATGTGTCAATAAAGAAAAGAAAAGAAAATAGAAAGAAATAGAAAATTTGAGGGCAAAGATAGAGAGGGGTGGCACATTTGAAATAGCGGTAAAGTAAATTAAATCCCTAGTTATTAAGAATCAAACAGTTTATTTTGTGTGAAAAAAGAGACACATAATGCTTTCTTTAGATAACTTTGGCTGTGCTCCTTCTGTGCTCCTGGCTGAGGACATTGCTGCTGCATAGTGGTTCCCCCCCAACACCTCAGTATGCTAACCTTTATAATACTCATATGTAATGCTAACTTTATTTCAGTAAACTTTTCAATGCACTGAAACCTGTAAGTAAATATTTTTAAATTGGTATTAATATCAGTAGTTTCATAGAACTAAATACTTCTTCGACCACCTATGTGCAGTAGTGATCCAAATTAAGTGACTAATACCATGACAAGCAGAGTGTCTTGTTGTGTCTGCAATGTGGTATAATTTCTCCCACGGCCAGTTCCACACAGTGTAAACACAGACATGGCAGGCGAACCACAGTCTACTGTGGCTTTTCACAACATCTCCACAGGTGTAGCACAAACCCGCTCAGCTAACTGTCGTGCTGGCTTTGCAGGGCCTCAGTTTCGAAACAAATCATGACAACAACAGCAGACGTCACAAATAAAACATTGCATAACCGGATGGTTTCACGGGCTCCTCTTAGACTAGTAAACATAGAAGCAACTAAAAAAGGAGGCTTTGAAGAGCAGTGTAGTTGTGGTGGAGGGGAAGGACAATTTGATTAAATCAATGTTCTTGTTGTTTTCTGTGGTTGGGTAACAAAAGAAAACAAGAAAAAAACATTAAGGGATGTGCTGCAAAGCCAGGCACAAGACAGAGAAATAGTTCTCAGACAGACGGCCACAGAGGCACCGTCACCTCTGCTGCCAGGATGGTTAGTGGTTGCATGGACGTGTCTTGCCTGACCTGTGTGAGGTGGTGATGTGGCAATCCAGACTGTAACTGTATGGACTTAATGGTCTGAAGGGAGGATTTATAGTGTTGTTTATGTCCTCTATTTGGGTCAATCACAGCAGACAGTCGCTTTTTGGCTGCACTGTGGAAAGGTGTTGTAAGGAGAAGGAGACTGAGCAGGACATGGGTGCAGCACAGGCACACCCACAGCCATTGCAGACAGAAAAAGGAAGGCAGACACTTGCACACATGCATAAACAAGATCCAGTAAGAGCCAGTACTGTACTTCTTATAGCCTCTAATGTGGTGGTTGGCGTGGTTTAGAAAACTGCAGGGTTTGTTGTAGTCCAGAGGCGATACGGGTGTCAGGAGACGATGTCCTTTCACCACAGTGCTATCTATCCATGAAATATTGTATGTGAGGGTGAGGAGTTCACAGTGGCCTAGGAAAAAAATACTGTTGGTTCAACTTTAACATTTTGAGCTGTCCCCGTTGAACCCATCACACTTCTGCATAAAGCTACAAAGAGATAAAGCATTATAGACGTGGATGTCAATAAAAGACATGCAGCCATGTCTTAGCCTTAGTGTAGGCTTGAATCAGTCTTCACTTTTTTGTCAAGGGAGGTCTTGCCAGCAGCCGTCACGTTATATAACTGCTTATATCTCATACTACCCAGCTTGTGTACTTTGTGAGGGAACTCCCATTTGAAAATTAGTTAGCTGGGAAATTCACACTATCTCAGAATGATTTTTGGTATCAAATGTAAGCATACTACTGAATGAATTACTCTTGAGTCATATGGGGACATTAGAACACAGAATGCCTGGTTGTGAGCAAGAATGAACACTAAAATAAAGAACACTAAAAAACTGATATCTCTGTTTGCTGCTTTACAAAAATTAAAAAAGTGCAAATGCTTGTCTTCAAAAATGTTTTGTCAGAGCTAAAGATATGCAAATATTTCTATGTTTGTCATGCTTGGAACTAAAGTAGGCTGCAGGAAATTCCCAAAATGGACAGGACCGTAATAAGATCTCCCACTCACTCTCTCTCCCTCTCTCCCCCAGTTGAATGTGCTGGTTTGTTCTATTGGAGCTCAGTGCATACAACAGCCCATAAACAGACATTACATCTAGCAAACAAAGAAAAAAACACTCTGTATATTGTTTAGTTTGTGGTTAGAGCTGATGAATGAATATATTGTGTGGTTGAACAATCACAGGCAACACTAGAAGAGCTGCAAAGTCAGGCAGATGTGAATGCATGTGGAAGTGAGGGTGGGGGGGGGAAGGGTCACATATACTGTATACCAAGTACATTGTAATGTATCAGAAAGGAAATAGGTGGAGTAGACACTGAGTCTCTTGAAGGCCTCAGAATGCATAAATATGACAATAAGACCTCAACTGTAACTAAATAATAATACACATTTGTGAAAAACCCAATATGCATGTCATTATTTGGTGCAGGTGCATAAAAAAGCCATGCTTTATCAGACAGGTGGTCACACTGTGTGCCTGTGTGCATCCATCCTGTTGCTGTAGAGACTCAAATATGTCAATAATGGTGCAGTCTGTCTGGAACCAGAGAAACCCATAAGTGCTGCTTTGTGCTCCCTGACTAGCACAACACATCGTCTCTCTGTGACACAGCTCAGTATCAACATTTGAAGATGATTTCAGAATGACACATCGACCAGTGGGGAAACTGACTGTTACTGTAAATGGAAACAGATTTGTGGAAATAGAGCTGTTTTAAAATAAATGGCTGGAAAATAGCATATTTGAGTACAAACAATATACATTGGTTTTGAATCAAAATTATAACATATTTACAGGATGTTATAATATTGTGCCTGTGTCAGCATAGCTTTAACTTTCCCTTCATGTAAAATACCTCTGATGATACAGCCACAGAGGTCTAAAACTAACCAGTAACTGGGTGTGTCAGTCTCCTCAGAGGAAGTGCAGACTGTCTATTCATTTTCGTAAAAGTACATTATGTACTGTTACTGTCCCCCTGTATGGAAAGAAGTTAGAACTGTATGTACCTCGGGGGAAAACAAATCCCTGCTTACATACTGTATGTAAATCTTTTTCAGCTTTGTTGTTCTACATAAAGGTTCTGTATTGTGTGTATAAAAACACAGGAACAATCACATTAGGCTACTATAATATTAGGCCAGCAATATGTATTTACACAAAAGACTAAACTGCTGTTCTAAAGGCATTTTCCTCAAAACAAATAAAATTGTAATAAGAGTTGTGTAGAAGTTAAACAGGTCTGTCCCATTTGCTCCAAGTGCTCGCATCCAGTGTAGTTACGTTCCTGCCCAGATAGCAACCAGGTACTCAAACTATTGTATTCAATGTCTTTGAACACCACTTTACATAAAATATATACCCAGTTTATTAGGTACACATAGCTATAACAAAATAGTCACTTTGGAGGCTTTGTGCTGCATTATACAGAGGGGGTACAGTATAATGTCATACATTTCAGTAACACTAAACTCCATCTTAAAATGATAAGATGAAACAACTCAGTTTCAACATAATCACTTTAATGAAAAGAGAATTTACTGCTGGACTTTAGTGTTAAAACTGGATTACCTATAGCTTAGTGTGCATAATAAAACTGCCAACTGAGTCCATGGTGTGTATGCTCAATACTTCAGTCCAACAGCATGATGCTGTATTTTCTTACACATGACAAACTACTATGGTCAAATAAATCATGCAGTTTGTGCTTATTCTCATACAAATAATTGCTCTTTAAAAGCAAGTTCAAGGATACTTGGGAGTTATGTAAAAGTATATTCTGAAGAAACACTTCATGGAAATAGGGCTGAGGGTGAGTTTGGATAGGTGCTGTACGCATAATGCGAGGTCATAGGGTTCAACGTTGTGATTCCACAAGATAGTGAAAGCTGTCTGATCACCGTGCTGAATTTAGCAGCTATCCAGGGATTATGTGCTGAATAGGGGACAGTTTTTTGTTTTTTTTTACTAGTTTGTTCAAACAAATTAGGGTTTCAGTTTGTACTAGCTTTAGTACAACTATATCCTTAAAGTAACCAGAGCAGACTTTGCAAGAGGACCATTTATTGATATGTGCAACCATCTTCTGAACATATCCATCAACTCAAGTGTAGGCTGTATCAAAGCAATAAATATTGTCGATATAAAATCATGCCAGCATTTCCTGCTGCCATTTAAACATTTACATAAAAAAAAACAAAAAAAAAAAAAACAAAAAAACATAGCAGTCAGCTAAATGAGCTACCAGGTAGAAACTTAAGCCAAGGTTGTCTTCTGCTTGCAGGCTGAGTATACTCTTTTTAGCTGATCATATGACCTGAAACAAAGAAATAATTACAAAATTTACATTTTGATTTAAAAAAATAATTATTATTATTATACGGGCACAGTCAGGTGATGTGCATACCTTTGTTACAGAGACTTCTGGATGTTATTCAGGATGTCACCATAGACAAAGTTGAACAGTTGTTCCCTTGACTTGGTTCCATCTAGCTGCACTGTAACACACACACACACACACACACACACACTAAAGGCCAAAGACACTTCAGCTTTAAAACACGGTTGCATGCAAATTAAGTGACAATACAAAAAAAAAACACTACTTAAAACCAGAAGGTAATCTTACCAACATCAACACCTGATGCCTCCATGATGTTCTTGTGTTTTAAATACATGGGCCAAACGTGGCCATCGAAAAGGCCGGGGGGGTCTGGCACAGTGTAGTTCCTTGAGCTGCAGGGAGACACAAATTACACAAGTCAAGACAGTAGCTTAGACTACAAACACCAGTCAAAAACTGTATCTTAACAGTGAAGCACTTACCACCTCCTCTTTTTGCATTCTTCATATGGGATGGAAATAAAGTAAGATTGGTTCAGCACGTCGATCAAAGGCCTGCAAGGGTAGAGACAAATTTCTTTCAAGACACAAGGTCCCTGTTTCTTTCACAGCAGCAACAGAAATTAAACAAGCACATGTTCTTACTTGTAGGTGTAAAGCAGAAAGCCCTCCACAATAAGGATGTGAATCTCCTCCTCCTCTTCCTCCTCCTCCTTCTTATGGTCAGGCTTCACAACGATCTCAGCGTCCAGGGTGTTATTAACGCCATGAGACTTCTCAAACTTCACCGGGTTCTCCAACCATGCATAGATCGTACTCATCATGGCGTCCATGTCCATTGCAGTGATGACTGAAGAGAAAAGCGAGGAGGAAGGAAAAGCGCATAGAAAAATCATAGTGAATGAGAAATGCGCATTCAGTATTCAAGTTAGGGTATATAGCATGCAGATTACAAATAAGGCACATTGTTCCAGCACAGAGCAAACACACAATAAACAACCGCCCACACAGACACACGCTTCCATAAAAACCCAGGCTTACCATCGTACTGCTTAAAGCCATCTTCACCAACTTCAATCTGATCTTGGGGCTGAAACATATATTGATAAGATGTACCCAGGTACATTCCACTAGAGCTACACTCTGCTATATGGAAGGCTCTGATAGTGTTTTACACACTTGTTCATACTACATCTAGTAAACACAGGAGCCAAAGTGGCAACACCCCACCAGCTCACGTTACTCAAAGTACTCCCTCTGGTTAACTATATCCAAAAGTGAAAGATTTATGTGCATGTTTCTCACCTTAAAAAAGTCATCCTGATGTACCACACAACAGTTGGGCAGGGTTTTGATCAGCCTGTTGGTGAGGGTGGTTTTCCCTCCATTGGTTACGCTGCATAGAACAAAGCAAGTAAGGCAAGGAATGGTGGATGATGCAACCCTCATAAAAAGCTGTATAGCCCAGACAGCATGAAATACTAAAATCTCTTTGGTAGTGAAGTTATTATTTAACATTTTCCTCCTCACGTGTTATTACACTCATCCATTACATCCCATTAGTTCTGACTAATCTAACAAACCACTCACTTTCAACAATAAAAGCCATAGTCACAGTTGTTATTTCCACATTTTGTACCAATTCCATGGATTTTTGACATTCATTTCTACATCATGACAAGAAATAGCCAGGTCAACTGGGTAACACTCTATGGCGGGTTTACCCAGTCATCTCTATGATAAGAATGTACCGTTAGCTTTAGCTCTTTAGCTGTTTATTGACTGAACTCATTACAAGAGGATTAAACAACGTGTTCATAGAAAGAGCTGAATGAAGATAGAAATATCGGATTATCGAACAGTTTCACGGGCAATAAGTTACAATAGACAAAGCAGCAACGATTTAGCAGATGTCATGACCGCCCTCCCCCACGTGTGCCGCACTTTCAGGGCCCAACAGCTTCTTTGGCCTAGCTTAGCTCCTGGCCATTCATTTGGCAGAACTCACCCTCCGATGCCGATGATGTACTTCATGTTTGCGGATGGTCCAAGCTCGTGGAAAGTCGTTTAGAGTTTAAAACGTCAGTAAAACGGTTCGGGAGCCCAATGATCAGACGGGAAGAAGAATTAAAAAGAGAAGGTTGCAACAGAAAACGTCAACTAGCTGATTCCTCCATGGCACTTGGGTTGAGTGAGTAAGTGCAGAGAAGATATATCGCTCGGTCACTGTCTTCCACTGAAAGAGGACGGGTGTGCACTGCCGCTACTACACATATCGGGCAGAGGGACTTGATTGGCTATTTAAGCACCTCGAGCTGTGCGGAAACCCAGAACAACCAATCACGAGCGAGTAGTGCGGCAGCCCCACTCCCCTCAACCCTCATGTTAACATTAATCCATGATGTCACTTTTGTAATTGTAATGCAAGAAAATTTACACAAAAAGCACACACATAGTGAAATGTCGTCTGAGCAAAAGTAGAAGTAGGCTACCACAATTAAACAAAACATTATTTCAAGAAAAAGTCCTGAATTTAGCTTAATTTAAAGGATGTCCTGTAAGAAAACCTCTGGTGGAAAGTATTTAAGCACTTAATACGGGGTCCTACTTTATAAAGTTTAACATTTTGATTAAAGTTTTAAATCAAGATTACGTTTATCATACTTTAGTTTATTTCTCTATACAGTACAATCAATACAAGTTGCTTTCCACCACCACTGAGGTACTTGTATTTACGTATTTCTGTGTTTTGCTACTTTATACTTTTACTCCAGTACATTTGAGAAAGAAATTTTCACCTTTTTACTTTACTTACTTCACCCAACTGTCTTTATTTGACAGCTGTAGTTTCTAGCTATTTTAGCTGATTCAAATTATTAATGCAAAATACACAAAGAATAAACTGTCCTGCAGTATACAGTATATAATGCTTAGTTAAAATTATACAAAATGCATCAATAATCATAATCCAGTGATGAACACGACTCACAGCACTGAAATACTGCATCCACAGTAGCGCATCAGTAATTAAAATACAATGTAATGATAATGATATTACTTCCTAATTGCTACTTCTACTTTAATATTTTAAGTACATTTAATGATGATACTATGCTTTTGTTTAATTTTTTTTATAGCAGAGGAGGAACTCAAAGCTTTTACTTCATTAAAAACATTAACAGCACAATGTCAAAACAGACCATTTTAAGTAAGAATTTTAAAACCTACTTACATAAAAGTATGGAAGTATCATCTAAATGTACCTAAATGTATCTAAATGTACCTAAAACAGTAAGAAAAAACCCTGTTATGAAGCAGCTTACCCATATCTGTGTTATTTTATAGCTATATTGTTATCTCAGGTGCATTATACTTCAACACATTACAGGTTATTTGGGGGACCACCTTTCAAAGCTTCTCTCACTTTTCATACTAATATACATAAAGACCTTACTTTGGGTGATCTATTTAGTATTTTTAAACTATGTTGGTGTCACTTTTATTTGAATTTTACATATCAGTGAATCTTTAATAAATTAACTAAAGTCAGAGACTTGTGTATGAACTGAATCACAATACATATATACAGAAAATACATGATGACAAGTGTCAGTACCGCCTTACAGACCCGTTCATAGTGTTTGAATCAAAGGCATACACACAAACAAAACAAAAACACAAACATAACATTTCTTAACTCACTCACATTGTTGCAGTGTTTACTGCACCAGCCAGGAGCTGACCTCTCTTTGTTTTGTATAGAAACTTCCAAACCAATTCCATGATACAGCTTCCAGAGGTTACACCAAAATATTACTTATGTTGGGGGTTTACACCCTCAAAAACCTCAACTATGAAGAGGAAGTTGCCAAGTGTGGAATTCAGTTCAGCTTGTACAATTCCTATTCATAGTTTGATTCGGTTTCATTCTGTAAATTTGGAGCCGGACACAGATTTTCTTAAAATCTATGACAATATAATGCACAAAGGTTTTTCTATTAATGGATTGAATGTAATAAAAGTTTCATGTGGGTCAAGCTGAGATGAACTCCATGTCTAGTGATACTGTATAAGTTGATAGATGCCAGCTGAACTCTTGCCTTCTCATTTGACCTTCTCATCTGCCATGTGATATGATGTCAAACTTTAAGTCAGTTTTGATGATGATACAGTACTTCCATGCTTTTACTTAAGTACATTTTAAATGAATGCCTTTTACAAATTGTATATTTTTACACTGTGACATTGCTACTTTTACTTTACGTAAGAAAAGGATCTGAATACTTCTTCCACTACGTGGGTGATACATCATAGCATCACAGGAGTGAACAAAAAGGGGATTCACAGGAAAGGTGTTGTAAATGCATGAAAACATGACTAGGCATATGCTTTCAGTAACAAGAATGTCTCAACCACATTTTAAAGGTGATGAAGTGTTTGTATGCAAAATTTTAACCTGAAAGGTAAGTAGTAAAGGTAGCTGAGTAGAGAGTACAGTCATTCACATTGAAATATACTGGAGTAAAAATGACATAAAGGTAAATTATATGCTGTCTACCACAGACAGGTGGGTGCAGTGAAGTGACTTTATCTGAAGACAATTAGTAAAACAGGCATGTTCCACCAACAGGAACAAAACCACTGGTATCAGGAACCAGAACAGAAACCTGGCAGGATGGCTGGACACAAGTCCACAGAGAATTTATACACATCTGTGTAGCTGTCTGCTAGTGACACAGCTCCAGTAACTCTCCATGAGATTAATAGATATTTATGTTTAAGTACAATTTGCCTCCCATATGAACTGAGTTTTATAGCACTGAAATGCAGTGACTGGTTTCACAGGTGAAGATTTTGTCACCGATATGAACCTTACATCACCGGACATGCTGAATCAGCCGCACAGTAAATACTGTCCCACATATAAATGTCTCATAAACCTGAGAGATACTGCACGGATACATCAGTGACTGCACACCGTGAGTTTTTTCTTCCCACTGTTCAGTTGTCGCATTTCAACCCAGATTTTCAGCAGTCAAATCTATGTCATCCTGCCTTCTTCACATTTAATGTGACTGCGTGTCCATAAATGCCATATTTTCTGTAGATTGTTCACAGTGAAATCTAGCAAATCTACTACCCAATCTGGCCGTGTGACACCACTGGTGGATCATATTAGATCAAGACATGAAGACCAATGCATAAGTACTAATTATACTGTAATATAAAACCTGAAAAGTCTTTAAAGGCAGTGTGTTTGTAATAAAAAAAATTAATTGAATGAATGAGAATTAATATGATGTAGTAGTTGCTGCACTTTGCTCTGCTCTTGTTGTTGTTGTACCCAAACATCTGACTGCCATCTGCTGGCTCTGTTTGAAACATTCTGGTGTACATTTAGACCAAAAGACAGGCAGACAGGAACGCACGTGCACAGTTTGTTTGTTTGTATGCTTCTTTCTTGATTTTTAAATCTCACCTTTGCAGTCAAGCGCAACACAAATAGGAGTTATTGATTCTACATAATTATATTGCTGTTATCTTTGAACATATCAAAACACAGTCAAATTAAAATTTTACACATTGTTATTACAAGTTGCAATATTTTCTTTCAGAGGCATTTCATTCCATAAAAAGATGCATGTTTAATTGAAATGATAGGAATAAAATACACATGAATCTCTACACCTCAGTGAAAACATCCAAGGAGAAATTGTAATGTCTACTGCTTAATTGTAATCAACTGCTGTGGAGCATATTATCCTCATTTGTTCTAAATATGCAAATAAGAGACAGTATTGAGGAACTAAATTGAATGATTCAACGCATGTGTTTTAAACCAATATTCACAAACAACTCTGGAAATTAAGTTTTGAAGTCTTCATCTGCTATATATGGAAGACATAGGACTGCTAGGACAAAATGAAAATTTTGCAATGATACAGTAGGTGGCGATAATGCATCACCTAGTTAAAGAAGAAGGAGGAGGAGGAGGAGGAGAGAAGAAGAAGAAGAAGAAGAAGAAGTAGCAGCAGCAGCAGTAGTAGAACAAGCAGAGGAATTAGAATTGTTGGAAATATGGAAATCGATCAACAGTTAACAGTAAGGATATATATGAACGAACGACAGTGATGATTGATGTTTTATAATCAGTCACACAAAATTCATATGGGACCGTTACGTTATCCTCAGCCCTGAGAAGTTTCCGTCTTGCTCTGATTTAATCGTCTAATTGTCTTGCTGTTGTTGTGTTAGCAGGCAGCCAGCTAAGCAACGCTAATCTTAAACTTTATTTGCCAGAGTTAAGTAACTTTTCTTCAAAGCACCGGATAGATCCAAAGAAATTATGTTAGCCGTAAAACTGTGAAAGTAAAACAATCTCCTTGACAAAACAGCACAGGAGGTATTTCTAACTTAGCGAGGCTAGGTGACATTAGCCATTAAAAGGTTTTTGGCAGAAACATAAGGCCCAAAATTGTATTGAAATCGCTGTTAAACTCAAATCAAACAGACGATGCAAATTAAAAACAAATCCGCAACCTGCTGTGTGGATTTGTCCTAACATTGGCCATGATGAAAAACTGTTTACATACTAGCTATGGCTCCGCTTCTGAGTTTTGATGTGCACTGAAACTTTCACTTCATTCTTGTAGTGGTGCAGCAAGTACTCACATCCTTTACTTTCATTAATGGAAAAGGAAAAATACTCCATTACAAGTAAAAGTTCTGCATGCAATATTTTATTTAGGTTAAAGTACAGAGGTTTTATCAACTAAATTACTAAATAACTTAAATCCTAAAATCCAAAGTACTCTTTTATTTTGTGCAGCATTTTAGTGTTGTGGCTGCTCAAGATGCAGCTAATTTTCACTATTTAAGTTAATTTAGTTCAGTGCTTAGCCAATTTAGGGGACAGGTCCCTCTATAGGGTCACATGATACATTTATATGAGGGGTTGTTACATGATTCATGGGAGAGGAAGGAAGAAACAACAAATTCTGCTACAAAATTGTACTGATGTTTTGGACCTTTATTTTGTGTGTGTGTTAAAGGTTTTGGATAATTTTAAAATAGAAATATGTAAAGTACTTCCAGTATAGGGAACTCACATTTATATTAGCTGCATTTCACTCCTAACAAGAGCAGACTAGTAAATGGATGCCATTTGATGTACCTGAGGCTGTTTTATGACTAATTACTTTATGGTCTATTCCAGGTTCACGTATCCATCCAGAAAGGAATTTCCTTACCTCCTCTGCAAAAATGCAACAATTGCTGCTCTTCAGGCAAATTTCATTGTCCGTTTTGTTTACCAGCTGCGTTCAAACCCACAAAGCGCTGCAGACTTTGGCGTCATTTGGACAATCATTTAAGGAAGGCCATTTATGTCGAAGGTGAGGTTTTTGCAGTTTCTGTTTTGTAATGAATTGACAGTGTGAGCAGAGTGTTTCATTACTAATTACTAATTCATTCATTATTAAATGTGCCATATTTCAGAAAACACAATCCACAGATGCGGACTCGAGTGCAGAAAACAGCCACATTACCACTGTTTGTACTGTACAGCCACTGTGTTAAGGAAAAGAGATTTCGTCAATCATCTACCATCCTGCCGCCGGGCCCAACAGCGCAAAGCCCAAAAATTATCCAAACTAAAGACATCTGTGACACAAAAAGACCAAACCAGGGGTTTGCTTGCACCTTTGCTGACCACTGGAAAGAGTAACATCCCTTCTTATGACATAGTAATGCTCTTATATAATGCACAATAGACACTTTGTGTAATATTGCCCATCACAGAATGTCACAGATTTCATTTTGATGCTTAACAAATTTATTGTTGTCATAGGAGAGCAGCGATAACAGTGATGACAGCAGCGATAACAGCAATGACATAACCATAATCCTAGAGTCGGACGACGAAAACAGCCAAGGAATGAGCAGCAGCCAGTTAGAGACTCCTAATGTCCCCAAGTCAAATGAAGGTTACACTGTGTGGACGATGGAGAGGAGTCCGGAGCCAGACTCTTCTAAATGTCACCAAGCTGTACAGACAGACACTGAGCGACCACAAGACTGCGATGAGTACTACTTCATGGGCCTTGCTAGCGTGTTTAAGAAGCTGTCCCCACAGAAAAAGGGGGAGGTCAGGATGAAAATGGAGAGACTCCTTTTTGAAGCTGAATTTGTTTAGAAGAGGGTTTGCATACACACAAACACACAAAATTCATTTTATTTCACATAACAAATTGTGCTACTGTACTACAAATGTACTTGGCTCTGTTTTGTGTTTTTGAATATTGCCTCAAAGAGCCCAGACACCAGGACACAATTTTAATATCACGTGTGATTTTTATGGGTTTTATTTAATTCAATCACAATGTTACAGTTTATATCAAGGAATTAATTTCAAGATCAGCATTAATTCAGATGTCCTATCTGCAGAGTTTCTGATTCATAATCAAAAGCTGTAGACTGCTGGGAGGATATGGTGTCCACATTGTCTGACCACAAACAGGCTCCTGTTCACTGCTCTGTCGGACTCTGGGCAGTTATTTGTGTCAGTCATTGTTTTTTCCATTAAAATAGATTTGCTGTTGCAACATCAGCTGCTTCCATCCTTGGCCAGTGGTGTCTTCCTTTTTGTCATACGACAGTAAAACTGAATAGGCCTGTTTGGTTGGATAAAACAGTCCTGAGAGGATCTCAGTAGTGGGACTACTGGTGCATAGAGGCTTCATCACATTATGAAAATAGATTCAGGGGGCAAAATTGTAGGTTTATTTTAAATAAAATCAGCCTATATAGTCCTATATAACTATGACCTTAGCAATTTGATGATTGTTTCTCCTGATTTCCCAGCAGCTTAATTCATTTTCTGTCAATCGGCCCCTCCAACTCCTATACAGTCTTTCATTGGGTAAAGTACAGGTTTGATGCCAACAAAAGCTACTACCTTTTTGACAGTAACTTCATTTGGTTTTAGTACTATAGCTTAATGCAACGGACACAAACTGAAAGCAAAGGTTTCGGCCTCCTCTAAAGAATCTTATGTCCCAATATACAAGAGTAAGTAAGGTTTGAGTCATAAAAGATCACTGGTAATATTCAAAAACTTAACTTAGTCCCGGTCACGTACCTCAGTCCATTCCTTTCATTTCATGTGCAGTACTCTGTGAGCAGATACAAGCTGCACAATTTTATTAACAAACATAAAAACCTCACTTGTCAGAAAGTGCTAAAAGTGTTAAAGTCCAAGCTATTCGGCAAATATGATCTCTGTGGATTCAGGTTTAGATCCATTCTCTGGGAAGATGCAGTGGCTGGATGAAGAGGTTTTACTGGTAAATGGTAATTGGTGAGTTTCTAGTTATCACAGCCCAGCAGCTCCATGCGTAGAGTGACGCGCTCATGCCACTCCCAGGGGAAAACACGGACATATCTGGCGTAAAACGAAGGCTCAAATAGATTCTTCTTATGGGTGTTGTTGTCAGTGTTGCCTTGAAAAAGCTGAAAATAAATGTCAAATAATTATTTAGTAACATTTCTGCTGAAGGACCATAAACATAACTATAAGACAAAGAAAGTGCGGTACACTGCATCAGGGAGATACATGTCTCACCATATCATTGCCGGTGTTCTCGTCCTTCACTATGCTCCATGACTCTCCATCATTACTGTAAGCAACTTTAAATGCTGACACAAACTGCACAACCCCAAAGTCCTTGGCCCCCTGCGTGATGATGCCTGTGAGGTGCTTTGTCTTCTCTAGATCAACCTGATGAAGGGAAAAAAAAAAGAAAAACATTATACTCTGCAACATCAAATGACATTTTACCAATAATGAGAATTTACCACTCATTTTGCCCTCACCTGGATCCACTCTGAGCGGTTGTTATGGGCAGGAGACCAGGCATTTGTCTTCCCCTGCTTATCCAGTCGGGCAAATTGAGGGTGCCACGTGAAAGTATCAATGCCCCACGTTTTGAAAGAGCTGGAAGATGAAAGCTGCCCATCGGAGATGAGGCGAGACTTCAATCCCAGAGGCTCAGAGCAACCTGCCGGGTTTGAATAAACTGTGAATCAAAAGCAGACAGAGATGGCGGAAGGGAAAGTGGCAGAAGGAGAAAGAGCAGACAAGAGGGTGAAAAGACATGAATACACCCACAGAAAAGACAAATCACCCCCCATTTGAAGAAAGTTAGAAATAGGTACAATTAAGATCAATTTTGCATCCACCAATGACCAAGTGGAGGGAACAGAAAGGTGCATACAGAGCAGAAGAATGCATGCAATAAAATACACAGAGCTATGTATACAGTGCATGTACATTAACTAATGTTCTCTGTAGATGTTTTATGATCTGTTCAAAGATAAAGAACAAAAGGGAGGTGGTCAAAACACAAATGTATGTGTTGCTATCTGTGAGTCACTGAAATGACTGCTTTTATTGTTGCACAGAATACAGTTCTATGTGGTCTAACCACAGCTAGATATAATGCATGTGAAATAAACTCAGACTGTCACTGTGCCTGTCAGCATGACCACAGTAAGAAGAAGTCAACAGAGCAGAGCAATAGAGAGAGAGGCTTTAAAAAACTTTTTGACTTTAGAATTTGACTTAAACTATAATTCATCTGCCAAGTTTCTGATCTGGCTGTTGAAATTGTATCAGATGCTTTCTGTGTTTACCATTGAGTTCACAGCCCACCAGCTCCATGCGCAGCGTGCACGCCCGGCGGCAAATCACAGGGATGATGCGGATATACTGGGCCAAGATTGGAAGGTCAAAAAGGTTGGTCTTTGTGCTGTCATTATCCGTGTTGCCTACAAAAACCTGCGGCACAAACACAGGGGTGAGTAACCTGCTGCATTATAAGCAGCCTAGGTTTAATGCTAGGGAGGTTCTTTAACCTTGTCTGTGTGGTGGCCATCCACTCTGTATGTGGTGTAAGTGTTTCCATCAAGACTGCTTGCCACCTTGAAGGCCTTGATGTACTCAGACGTGCCCATGCGACTCGCGCCCTGGGTGATGATGCCTGTCAGAAGCATCTTCTTCTGCATATTTATCTATTGTTAACAAGTGGTCAAGTGTTAGTCAAGGTTGCAGCTGTCACTGGTCAGTCAATATTTACTCATGGTTTTAAGTTAATGTGTTCACTCTGACTTCTAACCTCCATCCAGGGGTTCTTGTCATGGGTGGCTGACGTCCAGGCGTTGACAATGCCTTGGTTGTTGAGACGAGCCAATTCCGGGCCCCAGCGCTGGAGACCCAAAATGCCGTAGTGCACAGAAGAAGCAGAAATCTGCGACTCCTTGATTACACCTCCCTCCATCCCCAGAAGAGAAATGCAACCTGGAACACAGTAATTACACTATTAAATATACTGAATGTAATTAATTAATTTATATTCCACTAATCGTACTTGTACCTGTCCACATTTTAAATACCTTCTTTTTTAATAGATTATACACTGACTTTTATTTACGCTTGACTAAAGCAACAGTAAAAGTACCACGACAGGACCACTACTAATCAGGACTACAGGATACTACTCTTTGCACTACTGATTACTGTATATAGACACATAGTCTGGAACTAGCCTGTTCAGGAAACACGCTTTTTTAACCTCATACTTTTAAAGAAGGATTTACAAAAAAAATCAAATGTCATGAAGTTGTACATATTTGAGGACGTGTCTGTCAAAATTGGTCAAAGCTATGACCACTTTCACAATGAATGCAGTACATTAAAAGAAAAGTGAATGAATGATAAAATAAGTGAACATACGTAGCTGGCACTGCTTTCCAACATAAGGTGAGGGGCACTGGCAGGTATAGTCTCCATCAGCGTCTCTGCATGTCCCTCCATTCTTACAGGGCTGGTTGGCACAGTCATTTACATCTGAGAAAAACAGAACAACACATTAAGAACCCAACAAAAAAGCTGTCACCCCCCTCTATCTCCACATGGTGGCACACTCGCACAGCATGTGATGCAGGCATGTTGAATACTGGACAGCAGCATGTCATTCCTTTCAATCATCTTAAAAATGGCCTATACATTTTTAACAGAGGTCTGCTAAACTGATCACTAATGACCAAACAAGATACCCAATATACCAACCACACAGCAGAACAGACCTCACTGTCAATATGTTTTCTGCAGTATTTACAGTACAGCTGGACTCTTGAGTCCTGGAGGGATCTCATGAGCTAGCTGATAAGACAGAAAAGTGAAGGACCTGTTTTGACTGGATCTTAATTAATGTTTATGTCGCCCTAACTTTAAGCTATGTCTTGGAGACAGTTCTGAGTGCAGCTCCATTCCCTGTCGCTGCTAAGACTACAGAATCTATCAGTTCATTTAGAAAAGGTGGTATCTGCTTCCCTGTCTGTTTGTATTACACTAGTATCTGTACTCGCATATGAGAAGATGTTAGAAACAGTCTAATCTGATTAATGCAGTCTAATACAACAGTCCTACAATAAATCCTTTCATGAAGGTGTTAATGTTCAGTTTTTGTTGAAACTGTTTTAAAGAGGTGTTTAACTTTATGATCATTCTGGAGGATGCAGTAGATGTAGTTAGCCAGCAAGGCAATGCTAGAAGTGCTAGGTAATGTTCATCTGAATACAGAAAAAAAGCTAAATAATACATGAAATTTAATTTTTGACCAGCCTTACTTTACCTGTCTTACTAACCCTAAGAAAGCAGAGGTAATGCCACATGCGTGTTACGTGCAGATGAAATGAAACCATTGCTAATTTAGCCTTGTTAACCTCAGGAATACTTTCATATTATTCATGTACTTATAAATTTATGTTTGTGCATTTAGTCTACATGAGACAGGCTCCATACCACCCTCAACAACAGTCTGGTCTGTGATGTCTGACTGAATCAGAATTAGAAAATGCTTGAGAGGAGACGACCAGACTGCATGAACACTACACTTGGTGGTCAGACTGTGGCTTTGGAGACTGAGCTGTTCATTCGCAAAAAAGACTCTTCAGTATTAGTATGAATTACAGTTCCAAAAGTTGCTCATTTTCAGATCTCTTTCATCCCTATGACCTTTGCTCACAAAGCTTTTAGGTGTTTCAGTTCCCAATTAATGGGTATCAGTCATAGAGGGAAAATAAGAATAAAGACATTCACATCTGTGGAATGTAATGCCCGAGTTCCTTCCTTTTCTCAATCTTTGAACTCATTCTTCTACTAATAAAACTAAACTTCTATAATAATCCCAAGTCAATTTAGTCATTTTTATTAAGAGGATATGCTGGAATGTACTATTATCCAATTCTTTATTCAGACTCAGTGTTGAATCTGTGCAGAATGTGTCTGCATGCTAAAAGACTTGGAGTGGTTTTCTCCTAATTAGCCAAACAGAATGACTGTGGAGCCCAGTGAATGAGTTCCTTTCAGGAAACCTCTGTGCTGACTGCACAGCTCTTCACCACTAAAGCTATAAGAGAATGGAAAACCTTCATGTTCACACATACAGAGAAGTCCTCTGAAAGTGGGGCCTACTGCTATTTGCCTAGTGAGTTATTCTGACAAAATTTAACCCGACTTTCTCCCATTTTCGCTACTTTTTTCATGCATTAAGGGACCTCAGTATTGTAATTTTTGCATCTAGATGCTCTTTATTGAAAATATTCTCTTTAATGATAAATCGTGTCAACACTTAAAAGTTTCCAGAATTCACTGATTAAATAGCACAATGTCTTTGGAGAAACTGACAAGTCAGTTTAAAGCTGTCCACTCAAGTAAGAGTAGAATTCAAAGATATTTATGGTGTGTGTGTAAATGTGTAGCTGTATGGGTGCAAACGACACAAAGGGCAGGTCAGGGTCACTTACTAATCTGGCAGTGCACGCCTTCAAAACCGGGCTGGCACTTGCAGATGTACTCATTGAAAACATCTCCTCGTCTGGTTGGAGCAATGACCTCGCACAGCCCATCGTTCTTACAAGGGTTAGGGCTGCAGTGTCCTGAGAGAAGGGAGAAGGAAAGGGTTTAGTTTTAGTGCACAAGTAATTAGGCTCTTCATCCAGAAAGGTTGCTTTTTTTCCTCTACCTGTCTCTGTCAGGTTGCAGGTGTCTCCAGCAAAGCCATCTGCACAGATGCAGGTGAAGGAATCAGCTCCTACCCCTGTCACACATGTTCCTCCATTATGACAAAGATTCACCTCACAGTAGTCACCTGAGTACATGAAAAATAAGAATAAACAGGGGGTGTAAGGTGTGAGATCACTTCAGTCTACCCTCCCTAACCTTAACACCACCACTGCACTTCATATTTTGACCCATTTTAATGTCCAGTGATGCTGCATTTGTTACCACCAGTATCTCCGCTGCCAGTAACTACATAGTCTAGAACAGTGCAACTGCAACACATGTTGTTCAGAATCACTTGTTCTTTCTTGAATAAGGAACTCTTGGTTTCATGCTGATCTTGTATTACTCATGCTGCTGGTCATTTGCAAGTTTACCCACAACAGAAAAGCTCAAACTCAAGCATTTTTAGTAGAAGAACATCAGGTATTCTGGTCAAACCAAGAACAGTGACAACTATCCCTTCTAAAACGATACCTGGGCCTGTATTTATCAAACTACGAGAACTTTAATACCTCCAGCAAGTGAAAGACAAAGGCAGGTTTTACTCCTTAGATCAAACTTTTACTATTCTTTAAACCTAATTTGACTTTAAATTGGCCCAGAAGCTACAATGCATTTATCAGGGGTAAAAACAGACAACAAAAATAAATCTGACATTGATTTAACTCACACTCATTGTGTATCGTCATTGTCTGCACCTGTCAGTGTGGTTGCTAGGTTCTCCTAATATCCTGATTTATCTGAGGTACTAACAGCAGAAAGTATTATATCACATTTTTATTTCCATTTCAGCCAACTTCCTACTGTTTCATCTCTGTTTCTATATTAACAGATTAGGATTAAAAATGATCATTATTTATGTTCTTGCAGAACAATATACTGTATCAGAGAATGTAGAATATGGTCAACATAGGGTGGAACTTTTTCTTTCTTTTGAGTTGAATCTCTTCTTAATACTCAATCAGTTTTCATATAGATAGCCTATCAAAATTTGTATTAGGAGGAGAAATGAGGCTGTGTTTTGTCTTTGTTGCTGGAGTGTCAGTAACAACAGGGGTGATGCAGTGCTGAGTCACAGATCCTAGCTGGATCAGGACAGAGGCCTCCAGTGGGAGTAGCAGGGCACAGATCTGAGTCACACAAAACCTTTAATTTTCCTCTTTTTTTTTTTTTTTGAATGCAGCCGTTGACTCATCAAATGCCACATCAGGGTTAGTCAAACTCTAATGACTTTGTTGTCATTTTATTTTGCATCTGTGTGGCAAAAACCTGTAGGACATTTGTGAAGACTGCAGACTTTCTATTGTCAACAATGAGCCATGTAAATGTGATATTGTAAAGCACAACGACTTTGTGACAAATGTTGTCACAAGCTGTTTAACAGTTGCTGTCAGACCTCTTTGAACAGGGCAGACCGGCTTTGCTACTAAAGTGGCATGTTTTAACATGACAACAAATCTGAGAGGGGAGGGAACAGTTTATACAGCAAAATGAAGTTCTACATTGCTTAATAAAACTGGTCACAGCGGAGTTTGATAAGGAAACAACATTCTAAAAATGGAAAGTGAATAATTTTGGGAATAGAAGTGCAAAAGTGAGTTATGAGTATTTTGTTGTTGTTTTTTTTAGCTCTATATTTACACTCTCTAAGTGTATGAAACCAGGCTGTAACAGCAGAGTCTCCCATTGCATATACTGAAATTAGAGCTGCAACTGACTATTTTCATTATTGATTCATCAACCACTTATTTTCTCAAATGATCTTTTTGTTTATTGGATGTGAGAATATTGAATACACCTGTCATTTTGTCTGTTTTCTAAGGTCCAAGGTGACATCATGAAATGTTTTATTTTGTCCGACTAACAGTCCAAAACTCAAATATATTAAATTTGTTATCACATTAACACAAAGAAAAGCCACAACTCCCCAGAATTAAAAAGCTGGAACCAGCAAAATATTTTGGCTTGAAAACACCTTTTTTAATTTATTGATTATCAAAAGAGTTGCTGATATTTTGTGGTTGACTAATTGTTTCAGCTCTGAAAATAAGATTTGGTAACCAGTGGATTCTAATGGAAAGTCTAAACAAACAACACTGACAACAGTGTCTAATATGTGCAGGATTAGCCAGGTTGCACAGGCGTGTGCAGCTCTATCAGGAATGAGCAGTTACACAACATGACTGTGCAGCAGCTCAGGAGTCTTTCAGGACACACAGCACACCTGACTGACAGATGGGGAAGGAGCGGAGCAATAGGTCCTGAATGTACACAAACATCAGAACAGAAGTCACAGGCTGGAAAAGACAGTCCAAACACTTGGTGTCTCCTGATCTGAACCAGAGAGATTTAAATGCTTATGGTTGGCAGCACATTTCCAGCTTGAACTAAATTTAGTGGACAGCTGGTTCATGCTGGCTTCAGACAAGATCACATATGGTGCTATGTTCCAATCCACCGGCACCACCTGTGATCTGAAAGGCGTCCACAGAAACAACAATACCTTACAATATACCCTAAGACTATAACTGCAACAAACATACTGTTAGCAGGAAGAGCCCCTTTTGGTCTTTGTAAGAGCAACTTGGGAGGTGCAGTTCAGAAAAACTTAAATGTTCAGTTCTTCAAGTAGCATCCATTTAATCACCCATTTTACAACGACCATAATAAGCTGGTATCTTGGAACACAGAGTACAAATTTCAGGAAAAACTGCACATCTTCATGACTGAACCCTGGGTGTTGGAGTCGTTTCTTTTCAGGTTAGGCCTGCAATTTTTTTATTTTGTAATGACTGTTTTAAAACATGTGTAAAAAGAAAGACATTGAACATATAGGAGAAGCTGATTACAGATTCATTTAAATGACCCCCTTGCACAAACACTTACCCCTTTGCCATTTAAAGCTCCCACTTAGTTTGATTACAAGCCTAAAGACTGGACGCACTAACACCGTAATAAAGAAAAGGAAGAAAACACCATGTAAAATAAGACTAGATGGAATTGTTGTACCCCGTACTTTTTACCATACTGACTCTGAGAGACGAGACAGTCCAAGTAACT